TACAGCTATTTTTTTTTTCAGAAGCCACCTGGCTATCACAAATGAGAGCTCAACGAAGTGGCTTATCACGTCGAAATATATAGCAGCCAAATTCTAAAAAAAAAAAAAACCCCGGATGTCCTGGAGAAAAATCCACGCGACCATGGAGGGAGCGTGGCAACTCCAAATATACATCAGGCGTCAGGGTCGGGATCGAACCCACGGCCTTTTGTATACCGGGCGAGGTAGTTAACATCTCGCCACCGCATCATCTGTCCCCTCTGGTCAGCACGTTCGCTGCTATGGGGCCGAACACATTTCCACCACGGTTCTCTCACTTTAGCCGGAACAACCGCTTCGCTTAAGACTCAATCCTTTTTTTCTTCGAGATTCTTGACCGCTGTGTATCTACTCCGGATTTTATGCCCTCCCTCCCTCTGCTCCCGCTCTCTCCCACACGTGTGGTCGCATCACCAAGCGCAGGATCCTCGTGACGTGCCCGAAACCACCGCGAACCTTCGTTCCTCCACGTGGTCTCATCTTGCCCGAAGGGTTGCCGATATTTATTTATTACTGCAAAGGCATGGAGTGTTATTGACGAATGTATTGTGCCAGCAACATCTTATAATATTACTTTCAATATGCATGCGTTTGCTTCGTAGGAATACTTTTTTGATATTTAAAAGACTTGTCAGGTACTCAAAAGCTATTAGGTGACTATTTACATGCCCATTTAAAAACTGGTCATTTCAAAAATATAATTCTCTCATCAGGCCCCAATTCTTCTTATCAACTTTGCCTCTAAATTTTGATTTAAAGCTTTTGTGACTGCAGTAATTCATATTCTTAGCTCTTTTGGTAAAGTCACGTTGAAGGGAAACAATAAACTAATAAAATATATATAAAACAATAAAAATTATCACGTTTCGACCATAACACAAACGGTCGTCATCAGGTGTGTCGGTTTGCATTCATTTATTTATTTTTAAACGGTGTATTTTTTTATTTCTAAAAAAACGTCAGCGCCACGCGCAGCGATTTGGCAGTTTATTTAGAAGGACTAGTCCATCTATGTTCTGAAAAGAGGAGGGGGGAGACGAAAAATTAATGTATGCTGTCTGAAAGCCACTGTAAGCGTGAACAATCAATTAAGACCTGAAATGGTTTATCAAATCTTTCCAATGATTGCTAAGCCAGAATCCATCTTCTCGGTTGAAATTACAAGCACAGAGATAATTTCAACCGAGAAGATGGATTCTGGCTTAGCAATCATTGGAAAGATTTGATAAACCATTTCAGGTCTTAATTGATTGTTCACGCTTACAGTGGCTTTCAGACAGCATACATTAATTTTTCGTCTCCCCCCTCCTCTTTTCAGAACATAGATGGACTAGTCCTTCTAAATAAACTGCCAAATCGCTGCGCGTGGCGCTAACGTTTTTTATAAATAAATAAACCGTTTAAAAAGAAATAAATTAATGCAAACCGACACACCTGATGATGACCGTTTGTGTTATGGTCGAAATGTCGTGAGAATTTTTATTGTTTTATATATATTTTATTATTTTTTGTTTCCCTTCAACGTGACTTTACCGAAAGAGCTAAGAATATGAACTTTGCCTCTCTGTTTATGTGCTATGCAGAAGGGCCATTCCCCCAGAACGTCGTCGATTATATATCTTTTTAGTTTCAAGTCAGTGTTACTGACAAGTGTGTTTTTTGCTATTTGTGCTTTAATGCCGACGCAGCGTCACTAAACAATTAGATTCATTTGAGTGTCATTAGGTTGTCTTTTTTTTTTACTCCGAACCGTTTTTCCTTATGTTGATCCTCACCACAGGAACGTCGAGTTTCCCATCGCTGCCTCAAGGCCGCAGAGATTGGTGACGGCGTGAGTGGGGAAAGCCCCTGTTGACTTTGACCAATTGGGAATTGGATTTTTTATTCAAAAAATGTTTACATTTCCCATTGGATGAGCATTGCTTTTGCGTGTAGGGATAACTTGGCCATACTTCACCACACTGACCGGCGTGGGTTGCAGAGAGGTGGTGAGAATATCACTCAGGTCGCTGGGTTCCTAGAACGGTGCGCTAACCACCGTGCCACCGCTCCCCCCAATGCAATATTTCTGTATACAGCATTTGCTGGAACTAAGTACGGTACTATAATTTGCTGGAATGTAATACATTCGTTTGTGAATGTTTTCGATCCTTCTGTGCTAGATGCCCCGTCTAATTAAAACACAAAAATCGCACACGGAGGCAGAATTCATCACAAATTGGCCGTAACCACAATACAAATGTGGAAATAGGTACAGAAACTACATTCTGTAGTTGCAACCGGTGCATCTTGCAGTGCTCTTCTGATGAAGTGCCACGCGCATTCGTAATCGTTGCCCTTAAACTGTCACGAATTGTTCTCCGCGAAACAATTCACAATTTTTGAAGTTGCATTGACAACACACTTCAGATCAAGCCAAAATTGGCCTTCTTCTTTGTATAAATCGGCCCCTTGCCATTGGAATGTGGAATTTCCACCAATAGCCCACAGGGCCACCGACAGAGCCGGGCGCGGAGACGCTTGCTTGGACTTGTGAAACCTTTTTGCCAGGATCAAAGTATGAAAAATAAGAATATGTTTTATCCTTTCTAGCAACGATCACACGTACTTGTGGTGAACATGCAAACAAACTCTGATAATATAAAGAAGGCTGTCTGTGGTGTAGGCCAATCAGTTTCAAAGACAATGCATATATCATATTCTTGGTTCTTCCGGTAAAGTCACATAGAAGAACCAAGAATATGAATTCCTGCAGTCACGAAAGCTTTAAATCAAAATGCATATGTCATCAGAGTTTGTTTGCTTGTTCGACACAAGTACTCTGTGTGGTTAATGCGGGACTTGATTCCTTACAAGAGGTTTCCATTTGGTGTTTGGACATCTTAACACCTGTTTTATTGCCAGAAAGGGTGAAACCTAGTCTTATTTTTCATACTTGAACGTGTGACTTGGGAGCGAGTGGTGCACGAGCGTTGGCAGTCTGACACCCAGTGGTGAAACGTTGTATCAACACTATAGCTGGCGCTGTCACACATCGGTTAAGTATGGTGCGAAAGAAGTTCGACATACATACAGACGGAAAGTGACCCTGTAAGTCAGTTTAACACATAGTCTTTCGTGACCAATATTATCCAAAATACTTTTTTTTGTCGCTAAACCCACCATCACCCGACACAGCCAATTAATAAGGTTTGTCACGTAAACAAAACGTGGCCATTCGTTTCTAGCACAGCACACCGGTGTGTTGGAGAGTAAACCCACAACATTTACAATTCGGGTAGTACGACGTTTCGCCAGTGATTACAACGAGCATCATCAGGCGACAGCCAGAGTTGTGGAGAAATCCTCCTTGTGGAGAAACCCTGAAAATACCAATGCCACCTCTCGTGCCACCATGCTCCATGCCCACCATCCTCGCAGCAGCAGCGGCGGCAGCTTTTGGCTGCTAGCCATCGAGCAAGGACAGGTCACCGCGTCGCACGCTTGCAGATGCGCTTCTGCGGCCGTCTGGAACTCTCTTCCTTCCGATACTAGGAAGTCACTGGAGCTGTGCACTTTTAAATCTGCTTTCTTGTTTTGAGTTTGTTGTCCTTCCCCGCGCTCCTCCGATTACCACGGTTGGCTATTTACCGTGGGAAAGAAGTTCAACATACATGCATATGGAAAGTGACCCGAAACTAACACTACTTGTCATGCCACCATGCTCCATGATTCCCTGTTTACCAATCAGGGGGGAAGGGGTGGAACAGTTTTGTCCCAGGCCCTATATCCAACGGACGAAATAAACAAACAGACAATACACCTCCTTCTCATGTCTGTCCCTCCACATGGAAAGGACAGGTTTTTGTTTACATCCCATCGGTCGCATGCGTACACATACGGCCTTCTGGGAGTTAATTATTTCAGCAGCATTGGTTAAACAGAAGCAAACTCTGGACCGGTTTTGAGATTCGGTCGCCCGTCAGCAGTTCACCATTGCTGGTTAGATTGCTGGTGAACTGGCAGATGTTCATTGGCGAGGACCATATCAGACACAAGGAGGCTTCACATGGGGCCCGGATCCCTCTGAGGAGGCCTAAATTGGTATTTCAGCCTCCGACCTCCAAAAACGTTTTGGCGGCCCTGTTACAAATCATTAAGTGCGTACGATAATACAACAACAAAAAGTCCCGGGCATCTCGTCCAAGTCCCATAATAACAATGAGTATGAAGCCAATTGGTATTGGATTGTAAAATGCAAAACGGCCTAATTTGCATTTTTATGCGAGGATAAAAACCAGACCCATGGTGGAACATTGAGGCAGGCGTTTGGTCAAATCCCACGCTGCGGATCCAGAGTGCACGCCGATTGAACGTCACAAATCCGATCGCAAAAACTGAACTATTTGAAACCAAACTATTTTTTTTTACTTTACCAGGTAAAGCCCACTGAGCTATGTAGCTCTTCTTCAGAAGCGACCTGGCCACAAAAAGATAGCTCAACGAAGTGGCTCGTCATCACGTGGAAATGTGTAGCAGCCAACTGCTCCCAACGCATGTTGATTATAAATGTGGAGGTGAAAAACCGAAGGAGCCGGAGAAGAAACTACGCGACCACGGGGAGGGAGACACCGTGGCACCCGTTAACCTCTCGCCACCGTGGCACCCGTTAACCCAGACATGGACAAAGTACGGCCCCCGGGCCGTATACGGCCCGTTGGGCTTTTTAATCCGGGCCGCCGAACTTGTCCAAATATTATTATTATTAAATTTAATTTTACCTTCTCCTGTAATGCGCCCATTTCCCCATTAGATGGCGCACTTTGACCGGGAGTTACGATATGTTTTTGTATTGTTCACGTTCGTGTAATTTGTTAAATTGCCTTGCAAATAAATGCTTTGCTACCTGTTAAAGGCCAAATCCTTTCACGTAATGATTTTTACACGTCATTTATATTTAGTTCACACAAACACTCCATCCATCTGTTCCTGGCCCGGCCCCTCTGTCAAATTTTAGAACCCATTGTGGCCCGCGAGTCGAAAAATTTGCCCACCCCTGCGTTAACCTCTCGCCACCGTGGCACACACTTCCACCTTCCTTTACGCGTGGCGTCCTTTCTCGCTCTGCGTCACACAGTGGCGGCCACGGTGCACGTGACCTCACGGCGTGAAGACACTGAATATGGGGAACTCGGCTTTATCCGGCTGTAGCAAATCGAGGAAGAAGCAAGCTGTTCCGGCCAGGCCTTCGAAGAGGCTGAACGGGGCGTCCAGCGGCTGTGACCCCGCCTTGAACTCCTCGGAGAACATGAACTCCGCAAACCTGCAGCAAAGACAAAGTCACCCCGTATGGGCTGTAGCGGATTGTTGGGGCAAATGGTGCTAGCGGGGAAGCTGTGAAAGCCGGCATGAGACAATAACGTCGATATTGCAGAGGATGCGTACAGGGTCCTTAATGTGCAGGTACAAATTTCAGCATTTGGCGATGTTTTGGCCAACACTGGCTGTACACTGTAAGCACGAGTGCGTGTGTGTATTTTTGGCACGGTAGGGGGCACAGCTGGTGCATCTGCCAGTCATCTCAGTCAACCCAGAGCACCTGGGTTGACCTCCTGTCAGCGAGCCTTCGACACGTCACGTGGCTTCAAAGTGCACTTGGCCTGGCACAGGCGCCGTGGTGACGTCACCATCACTTCGTGGCGAATGGCGGTTGTAATTGGTGTTTTTATTTTTCGTCTTGCTGCGCTTCTTACAATCCGGAGAGCACGCATGCACGCGCGTGTATGCCGACTTTACCTATGCGCGCGGTACAGGTACTTGGGGTCTCGTGTGAGCCGGTGGAGCAGCAGGAAGACGTAGGCGCTCCCGGCCACGCCGTGACAGATGCCCGGCCCCTTGTTCAGAAGGCCCCGTCGCCAGGCGATCTCGGCGCAGCGCACGCACACCGCCAGGTAGCATGCCTCGCCCGACAGCAGGTACGCCTTGGCAAACACATACGCCACACCTGTGGGAACACCGCAGCAAAGCATGGATTGACCTTTGCGTGGTCAGTGGCCTTCACAAGGTCGGTAACCTTCACAAGGTCGATAGCCTTCACAAGGTCGGTGACCTTCACATTTGTCGGTGACCTTCATACAGTCAGTGATCTTCACACAGTGACCTTCACATAGTCAGTGATCTTCACAGTCAGTGACCTTCACAAGGTCGGTAACCTTCACAAGGTCGGTAACCTTCACATAGTCGGTGACCTTCATACAGTCAGTGACCTTCACACAGTCAGTGATCTTCACACAGTCAGTGATCTTCACAGTCGGTGACCTTCACAAGGCCAGTGACCTTCACATAGTTGGTGATCTTCACACAGTCAGTGACCTTCACAAGGTCGGTAACCTTCACATAGTCGGTGATCTTCACACAGTCAGTGACCTTCACAAGGTCGGTAACCTTCACATAGTCGGTGACCTTCATACAGTCAGTGATCTTCACAGAGTCAGTGACCTTCACATAGTCAGTGATCTTCATACAGTCAGTGACCTTCACAAGGTCAGTAACTTTCTCAGTCAGTCACCTTCACAAGTTCAGTGACCTTCACAAGGTCAGCAACGTCCACACAGTCAGTGACCCTCACAAGTTCAGTGACCTTCACAACAGTCCGTGACAATCACATGGTCGGTGACCTTCACAAGGTCAGTGACCTTCACTTGACCAAAGGATGCCCCGTGCAGACCGAGAGCTGAGCATCGCGCTTTTTGCAAGCATCGAAAAGTGTAGGGGTGAGCACACACCCCTGCCTCACCCACGTCATCCACCGGTGCAGAGCAATGATCTTTCGCCTTAACTTCGCGAGAGTCGCAGGACCTCGTGGAGTCTGCCTCCCGGTGCACCTGAGCGAACGCCTACTTCAGGCCGACGTTATGCTTCGAGCGGCCCCCCTTGCCCAAACGCCTCGATAAATACGTCGGCCGATTAAACTTGTCCGCAAACACAGTTGCCATAAAAGCTGGCAAGGACGACAAATGGAAAAAAAATCTAAACAGTCGTCCAGAGCACCGCCATGGAGCATATTACGACTCAATTGCCGATTCACAAATTCTTTCGAATGAGGCACCATCCCAGCGGTACGCTCCGCTACTCCTGATGCGATTATTTGACTCGACCACTTCAATGTAAAATCTACAGCTGTTGCTCAGCATTCAGAATCAGCGGTACGGCGAGAAATACGAGAATGGCGCGCGTGCTCACCGCAGCGGGCGCCAAAATGTCACGGAAGACATCTCGATGAGCAGGTTTATCATTCACAATTTAATGCTGTTTATCTGCCCATGCGTTTGCCTAAAAATATATTAACAATTATCGTGGGTAAGGAAAGATCTCGCCGCAAGAGCACGCTTCTCCAACCCGAGGCAATTTCATCTCCGGGCGTTTCGACAGCCAATCGCGAGCCTGTTAATTAACGTCAGTCCACGCTCAAGCTTCCTGTGGTCAACTTCCAACGGTGAACGTTGCTGTGTTTTTCAGTCGTTGTTTTTTTTTTTGTCCTGGAACTGTGCACCCGGATCACCGCCACAGTGACTATCCAGTCTCAGCAGCTCTCAGGCATGGAGTCTATGACCACGGTGGCTAGGAGATGTTAACTACCTCGCCTGGTATACAGGAGGTCGTGGGTTCGATCCCGACCCTGACGGCTGCTAATATATTTGGAGTTTGCATGTTCTCCCCGTGGTCGTGTGGATTTTCTGCGGGTCCTCCGATTTTTCCCTCCACATTTAGAAACATGCATTTAGATTATTTGGCTGCTATACATTTCCACGTGATAAGGCCACTTCGTTGAGCTTTCATTTGTGGCCAGGTCGCTTCTGAAAAAGAGCTATATAGCTCAGTGGACCTTACCTGGTAAAATAAAAAAATGTAGTTTATAGTTCATAACATTGCCCTGCCTCACTTCTCATCTTGGTCCACCTGACCTTGCATTGAGACTTCCCCAGCGAGGAATTGTCTGTACGTATGTTGAACTTATTAGGTACCATACATAGCCAACCGTGCTAATCGGAGGCGAGGGGAAAGGACAACAAACTAAACACAAAAAGCAGTTCTGAAGAAACGAGTTTTCAATCTAGGTTTAAAAGTGCATTGCTCCAGTGGCTTCCGAATACCGAAGGGATGATCGTTCCAGACGGCTGCAGAAGCGCATCTGAAAGCGTGCAATGCAGTGACTGTTCGATGGTCAGCCAAAAGCCGATGCGACGATGACCGGAGTTTTCTTGATGGTTTATGCTCCATGAAAAGATCGGCAACGTATAATGGTTAATTTCTGGCAAGTACTTTGTGTGTAATAAGTCCGATCTTATGACGAACTCGTTCGGCAACCGGAAGCCAATGCAGCTTGGCGAGTACTTGACGGACACGGTCGGATCTTGAAAATATCCGTCACGACACGTGCCAAAGAATTTAGCTCACATTTGGGACCTCTGCTGGTCTTGCCAAATGAGATGTGCTGTATATAGGACATTTCTAAATTGTCAAAAACATCTCGTTCTTCGCATGGCTGATGGTGATGTTAGAGCCACAACTATAATTTTACAACTATAATTTTACAACTATAATTTTACAACTATAATTTTACACTATAATGTTACAACTATAATTTTACAACTACTATTTTACATAATCTTAGTTCTTTCGGTAAAGTCACGTTGAAGGGAAACAATAAAATAATAAAATATATATAAAACAATAAAAATTCTCACGACGTTTCGACCATAACACAAACGGTCGTCATCAGGTTGTGTCGGTTTGTATAAATTTATTTATTTTTAAACGGTGTATTTATTTATTATAAAAAACGTTAATAAATAAATACACTGTTTAAAAATAAATAAATTTATGCAACCCGACACACCTGATGACGACCGTTTGTGTTATGGTCGAAACGTCGTGAGAATTTTTATTGTTTTATATATATTTTATTATTTTATTGTTTCCCTTCAACGTGACTTTACCTAAAGAACTAAGAATATGAATTACTGCAGTCACGAAAGCTTTAAATCAAAATTTATAATTTTACAAATATAATTTTACAACTATAATTTTACAACTATAATTTTACAAGTATAATTTTACAACTATAATTTTACAACTATAATGTTACAACTATAATTTCCGAATGGGAGATGCGAGCCTTCACGCGACCTACTCCGTTAGTTGAGAAATCGTGAGTGATGCCATCAATAACCCGACGATTGAACATTGATCATCAATCTCTCGGTCTGCAGAGCAACAACTCAAGCGATATACAATTCCAATTAAAGTGAAAAATGACGACGATTAATTTACAGGCGTTTGACAATCCACTACTGAATGAGGGTCTCCCCCACGTCATGTCGGTCATAGTGGTCATTTGACCACACTTCGCCTTGATGGTCAGCACGGGATGGTGAAGGCAGAGGCCCAAGAATGGTTCAGATTTCACTCGCAACTGATGTTTGCCGTGGCCGGCAATACGAACCCGGGTCGCCGGGTTCATAGGGCAGTGCACAAACCACTCTGCCACTGCTGAACGACGTTATTATGATTATTATTATTGAGTTTGAAGTGTCATCTTTCGAGACCAATATTACCCATAATAGGGAGGGGGTTTTTTTTTCTTCCCTGTGTTAGATCACATGGCCAATTAGTAAGGCTTGTCACGTAAACAAAACGTGACAATTCGTTACTAGTACAGCACACCGGTGTGTTGGAGAGTAAACCCAAAACATTTGCAATTATAACGAATTGGCACGTTATGTTTACGTGACAAACTTTACAAATCGGCTGTGTCGGATGGTGGTGGGTTTAACAACACATTTATATTTACGCGATCTAACCCAAAAAAAAACCTCTTATGGATGATGATGATTATTATCATGATGGGTAATATAAACAGAAGGCTTGTCGTTAAATAAAACAAATAAATATATAACTTTGCCTAATTCCTTATACAGAGGCACGGTGTTTTCAGTTCAGTCCGACTCACAAGGCAAGGCAAACACACGACTTTGCTACGCTCTCCGTTAATGTATAATGAATACCTTGGGTAAGCCGCGCCGTTTATGGACCAAATCAGGCCGGGCCAAAGTGCCCAGTAATTGAATGGCCCGAAAAAGCACACTCAATCCACTTGCCCGTTAATCCGCGCACGGTCACCGGGGCTCGCCGCGCGCCGCTGTCGTGCGAGCGCGTGCCGGCGAGCCGCCGCGCTTTGAATCGCGACGAACCTGGCAGCAAACGTCCTCCCGGTGGTCACCCTCCACCCCCACCCCACCCCCACCCCACCCGCCCTGCGCTGGTGGCTGTGAAACGCGGTTGGGTTAATTACGAGCACCGCATCCGTGCGATGCCACGACCATCGCCAGCGTGTGGGGAGGTTGATGCGCACGATCCCCCCCCCCCCCCCCCCCCCACAGCCGCCCCCACGCCCAGGTAAAGTCACTCTGGGAATAATTATTCAGATTCACTTGCAGGGTCATAATCATTATCTCCGTGGTCAATATTGGCTCATTAATGCTAAGAGACCACTTGAGGTCAGCGCTAAGTCCTTATCCACTTCTGCCAGTCGTTCTTTCAAATGGCTTTTCTCTCAAGGACACTCCCGCGCTCAGTATGCATGATTACCGTTCCGGCGGTATGGATTGGCGAATCAATTTCTGAAATCCTCGCTGCTTCTTCCCCATAGCAATGTTCCCTTCCGAACAAATTGAATGGTCAAGGCTCACGCACTGGCGGTGGTGCACAAGCACGAATAACAACAACAACAACAAAAGCTCAATACGCTCCGTCACTAACAACATCCTTAAAAGGAAAAATAAGCAGGTGGCAACGAAGGGCCATTGCCTGAAACGTCGACAAATTCCAAATTTTTATTTTAAGGTCACAGCGTTTTTGACGAATGCGTTGGAGTGTTTTTTTTTGTTGTTTTTCACTCTAAGGTTTGCGCCAATTACTGCAATGACAACTCAGAATTATTTTTGTTTAAATGACCAAGCAAGAGTTGTGTGGCAGTAGCATTGCCACGACGTTGTGATGCTACGATACTTGATGTAATTTTAAACCCCACGATAATCGTGTGACCCGTTTTGCAAAACATCATCGTTTCGTGGTTATCATCACTCCTTTTTTTATATTTTATTTCCTGATATTAAAAAAATGTTCAATGACAATGAACTTCGTAAATAACCGCACGACGCATCCGTTCACCGCTTTGTTAAACGTTCTTTTCGGAGGAATTGCCGAACGTGTCGGTTAAATGACGTCATAATTTGCCGACAGCATTTGCGTGATAAGCATTGTATATTGTAAAAGTTACAAAGCTCATGTTGGCATATGAAGAAGGGCTATGACCAAAAAACATCACCTACTGTATGTATTTATTTTCTTTTAAGGCCACTGTTATTCACATGAGATAATATTATGAATTATATTATCTTATAATCTTGCGTACGGTAGCAATATGTTCATGAGCTTAATGCCAATATGGAGATCTGCTCGCCAGGATGAGAGGGCTTTGGGGGAGAGTTCGTTTTTTGCTGGTGTTCTTCCTCCGTTGAAAGACCGTAGATTAAAGTGGGTTTACTATTTTGTCCATAGTGTGGGTTGCATGGCCACAATGGCACTGGGGCTTTGTCTTAAATGTATACCTGTGTATCCCTATGAGTATATATATACATCTCTAAACGTCTCTATGTATCGCTCTGAGTCTCCATGTATCTCTATGGGTCTCTACGTATCTGTCTTAATATTTAAGTCTCTCTGTGGGTTTATTACATCGTTCATAGTTTGGGTTGCGTGGCCACGATCGCAATTATATACACAAATTAAAATTGACGCTAGTAGCATGAGATCGGTAACTTTTTGCAAACGGTTTCACCAATCGCCTTAAAATGGGACCTTATAATGGGCAGTGCTTGACCTGCTACGTAAACATCCGATGGAGCTGCAAAGGACGATCGCAAATGCTATTTAATTCATTCATTCGTGTCTTCCACGGGTAGGGCCCACAACACCTTTTTGGGCACACGTGTGTTTTTTTCCGTAGGCGAGATTGAAATTGTTGCCGGTGTGCCTATTTGTGGCGACACCACGAAAAATAATTCAAACGCACGACTGCAACCTCCTCACCTTCGCAGAGAAGCGACGAGGCCACTCGAAGGAAACCCAAATGTAGGGGATGCAATACAGTCCAGCCAGGGCAAAAAAAACGGTGTTGTAAATGTTGTGGTTTTACTCTCCAACACACCGGTGTGCTGTACTAGTAATGACCATAATTATAAATGCTGTGGTTTTACTCTTCAACATACCGGTGTGCTGTACTCGTAATGACTATAATTGTAAATGTTGTGGTTTTACTCTCCAACACACCGGTGTGCTGTACTAGCAATGACTATAATTGTAAATGTTGTGGTTTTACTCTCCAACACACCGGTGTGCTGTACTAGTAATGACCATAATTGTAAATGTTGTGGTTTTACTCTCCAACACACCGGTGTGCTGTACTAGCAATGACTATAATTGTAAATGTTGTGGTTTTACTCTTCAACACACTGGTGTGCTGTACTAGTAATGACTATAATTGTAAATGTTGTGGTTTTACTCTTCAACACACTGGTGTGCTGTACTAGTAGCGAATTGGCATGTTCTGTTTCCGTGACAAACCTTACTGATAGGCTGTATCAGGTGGTGGCGGGTTAAACGACACATTTCGATTTACACGATCGAACCCAAAAGCCTCTATTATGTAAAACCGGTATTGCCACAGTCAGATTTTTACAAATAATAATGTAAGGTTTTGCACCGTAGAATAATGCTGCACCAATCAAGAAAAACCTAACACATTCATCAACAAGAATTAATCGTGGCCGTAAAATTAAAATATATATAATACTAGCTGTACTACCCGGCTTCGCCCGGGACTTGGATCCATCACTCCCGGCCGCCTTTGTCTCTCCAGTGGCGATGTTCACACACCACAGCAGTTACTCGATTGAGACTGGTTAACAATCGTCACCGGTGGTGGCCGTGAGCGGGAATCGAACTCGGGTCGCCGGGTTCGTAGCGCGGCGTGCTAACCACTACACTACAATGCGTTACGCTTCCACATGCGAGGGTCACGTGACAGATTTGACGTCACAGCTCACTTGCCGTGCAAAAAATAAATGCATTATTGAGCTCCCCTCCCCCCCCCCCAAAAAAAAGCGTGTTTTTTTATAATGTTTGCATAGTGTACAGTCTGGAAAGTACCCACATGGCAAATTTCAAGTTAGCATGTTCGGAAGTACGCTAAACATTTTGAACAGACACACATATTCACAACTTTGCCTTTTATATATATAAAATAGGTGACGGGTATAAATAAGAAAAACGGTTGCATGTAGAAGAAGACCTGATTGCAGACAGTGATGAGAAGGGAACTGGCACCATTTGGAAACATGTAGAATGAACAACAACAACAACAGTACAATTAAAAGCGTGGTGTTGTTGTTCGGAAAAAAATGTAAGGAACCGGAAAGAAAGGAAGACCAAACAGAGAATGGCTTGACGACGTCATCAGAGATTGTTGCCGTAAAAATCTGGCCCTACTTGAGCACATTGGCAGTACAAGACGGAAGACGAAAGTGGAAACAAATGGTGAAATGTGCAGTGAACACCTACTACGGCCTCCCTGCGTATGGATAGTCATGACGATGATGATGAATAGGTGACGTTTCGGGCAATGGCCCTTCCTCACAACAGGTGCCTCTCTGTGTGCTCTCAAGAAGGGCCATTCTCCTAAACGTTGCCCATCATACACGGGTGCCTTGTAAAGCCACGCACGGAGTGTTATCGTTGACGAACTTGTTGGATTTTTGTTTGTTATTCGTCCTTGTGCACCATTGTCAGCCCGGCGGCAGCGGCTGCAGCAGCAAAACACGTTCTCCTGCGGAGGGAGCTGGTAGGAACGTTGGGTTGCTCGGTCAATGGCCAGGGTCAACGGCGGCACCACCACGTGGTGTATTCAGCACAATATGCCCGACTGTGAGGGTGGGCACAAGCCGGCGTGAGTAGGTTAAACGTTGAGTTTTTTAAGGGCACCACGGGGTGAGCAGCCCCTCCCCACTCCCCACTCAGCCCCTCCCCCCCCACCCAGCCCCTATCCACCCAGCCCCACCCCTTCCAGTTTTGGATGCACGACGGACGGACGGACACAACAATAATCCCCTGTGGGCTGGTGGTGTAACCAGGAGGTTCCTACACAGTATAATTTGCACGAGATCAGGGCGTCACCGTGGCCACAGGCGCTGATGCCACCGCACCTCGCTTAAGCCTTCGACCACCCCGATGAGGATGAAGCTTGGAGAGCCACGTGGGGTTCGCGAGAAGTCGCCAACAAACGCCGCCTCCTTGTGAAAGAGCTGACGACGCAGGAGATCCCTGCCTTGGGATTTTCCGCGATGTACGTCCAACTTCTTTCGCAACGTGCGTGGCCACCTCACAAACCGTGGCAGCGGCAGACGCGGATACTTTAGTACCTCCGATTAGCACGGTTGTCTCCATATGGTGCGAAAGGTCAACATACATACATACAAATGTGCCTACGCGCGATGCCCCAGATAATATCATTGTGTTTATATAGTAGCGTAATTTATGCAACTGTGTCACGCAACGTCACACAATCCACAAACACCGATGCGCGTATAGATTAAGATTTTTGCAGGCAAATTTTTTTTAATGTACATATTAGTGTTCATACGTGTGGGAGAACAACCCATGCTTTCCTGTACCGCCTTCTCTCTTGGAGAGTCAGGCGGTGGCCCCGTCCTTGACGACCCACCCGCAAGGGAGTTTCACCGCATTTACGCGACCCACCGACCCTCGCTGCCGCCTCAACAGTGCTGGCATTCCAGGCCGCGTGCAACGCAGCCACCACCACCACCACCACCGCCACCACCACCACCGCGACCACCACCACCACCGCCGCCACCGCCACCACCACCGCCACCACCACCACCACCGCCACCACCACCACCGCGACCGCCGCCACCACCACCACCGCCACCACCACCGCCGCCACCACCACCGCCACCGCCACCCAGCGTGCCCCTCGTGCCGGCCAAACTCGCGAGCTTGAGCCGACCGGCCCGATTGATCGATCGGCCCGCGCGGCCGGCGACGCGCTCTGACCAGGCGCGCCGTGACACCAGTGGACCAGGCTCTTGTCGTCCACCGCGGGCTCCATTAGCTCAGCCGCCCAGTTTCCGTCGCGCTCCTGCTCGGCCAGGAAGTCCAGGGTCCTCCACACGAGCTCTCGGTCTTCGGCGTCGAGATGCTGCTGGTAGGAGAGCAGCATGAGGAGGATGGAGGAGAGGCCGTGAGCCGCGCCTGCAAATCACAGCGACGCCAGCACACGTGTGCACTCTCTCACGGCCGCGTTAACGCATCGAACGCTCCGGTGCTCAGCCGCGCTGGTTGGTAAGGGAGCACCGGGCACACTCACTGGGATTCCCGGTGGCTTCGTCCGGAATTAAATTCAGCCGAAGCTGTCGGGGGCTGAATTCCAGAAAAAATATTTTTTTTTCCCCCCGCCAATTGCCTCCCATTGTTGTTGGGTTGAGCCTGGGGTAGGGTTGGTGAGGGGTGGTGGTGGGGTGTAGCTATGAAGTGTACAGGCGGTGCAACTGCACAGGGCCAGCGGTCTCCAGAGGAGGCCCAGGTGGGAGGCTACGAGACGGAGGAGGGGGGGGGGGTGATAGCATTGGACAGGGGCCCCCCAAACAATTCATCCTTTGCACCTGGGCGATTGGAGACTGCGGGATGCCGCTGTGTTACTTTCAGGGGTCACTGCAGAGGGTGGAATTGTGTTTGTTGTTTGGGAGGCTTTGGCGCACACTCGTGTGATTTCCCGTGAGATGTCAGGTTGAAATGACTCCACTTGTACAACAAAAAAACGACTCCTCAGCTCTTCGACGCGTTGCCGGGTCGCACCGCGTACTGTCCGTCACGGTGTCCGGCGTTTCGCTCCACGTGCCTGGAGCTTCTCCAGGAAGTGAACAATCAGCTCGAGCGCTGCCGGCCACAGTCTATGCTACTTTTTTTGCCACTATAAAAAAAAATACTGAAAAAGAAGACTAGGCTTTACCCTTTATAGCAAAAAAACATGTCTTAAGATGTTCAAACACGAAATAGACAGCTCTATGCAAGGCGTAATTTTTGATACTGCCAAAAAGGTGCCATATACAGTAAAACCTTGGATTGCGAGCATAATTCGTTCCGGAGACGTGTTTGTAATCCAAAGCACTCGTACGTCACGCGGTTTTGGACGATTTTTTACCCCCCCCCCCCGCCTTCGTCACACGGCGTCACAAAAAGTCAGACCCCCCCCTCTCAAATATGACGTCACAAAGCTCTGCCCCCCCCCCCCCCCCCCAAAATATATAAAACATGCTTCAAATCGCTTTGAACTATTGTCATTGTAGTGCATATTTAATGTGGCGCTGCACTCTGATGTTGTAGGAGAAAACATCTATTAAAAAGTCTATCTAATAAGTAGAACGTGTTGTCTTATTTATTTAAAGTTGTGCATTTTGATGTGACGTCACATTTCTCACCTCCCCCCCCCCCTCGTCACACATCGTCACAAATGTCTGACCCCCCCCCCCCCTAGATGGGTGCCGTCATTTATGGACGGCCCCTTACCACACTACCCCCAGGGGGGTCAGCGTGCCCCCTGGTCGAGAGCCTCTGGCGTAGGGTGCAGTGGAACTGCAAACGCCTGCACGGCTGGCTACGTACGGTGCGAAAGAAATTCAACATACATACGTAGGGTCCCACGTTCCTGGCTAAGTCGGTCGCTCTCCTCTCTCCCGCCTTTCCCTGCCCTGACCCCTAGCGTTTAAACGCAATGGGCTCTGCAAATTGTAATTGTTGGTGCTGTTGGTTTGTGAGTTGCAAACATGCCAGGCTGTTCGAGGCAGCGTGTGTCATGACGGTAGTCTGCAAATAAAATCACATCACCTTTTGCGTTGAACGTGACTCTTCTTTGTTGCCAGCCTGCGCTGGATTGTTCTGTCTGAATGAGTTTCTTCTCACGATCAACCCTCAAACGTATTTCCCCGGACGACCATGCCACCAATAGCTTCTTCTTTTTTTTTTAAATGTAAAACGACGCCAAATCGTAGAGTCTGCAACAGTTCCGCAGGCCACTTCCCGCGGCCTTGTGGGAAAGGTTGACAGGTTGACAACCACTTACAGGGTGTGCTGGTTCTCAACCTATTTTGGACCCACGTGCCACTGTCAACCCTCGAATCGTTTTCCAGGATCACCGTGCAGTAGAAAAGTTGGTGCTTTTGTTACAACAAACACCAGGCGTTTCTACAGCAGTTCCACTTTCCCACGGCCTTGTGGACCAGAGCTTGGGAGCCGCTGCTCTGTAGATAAGGCTAGGGGGGAGGTGTTCAATTCACGATGTGTGGAATTGCAATTGCACACGTGGAAGACACGGACTGGGAAGTTTATGTGACACGTGTCTAGGCATTATGGATGCACCTCGTGGACCATATAACTTCACCCCGCCCCAAAAATAAACTTGAATGTGGTGTATCTGCAATTCACAAACTCTCCAACAACAACGACAACATTGAATGGGTAAATCACTTCGAAATTAATATCTTATACAGGTGGTATATAAATCTCTCCATGGCCTTGCCCCACCGTACCTCGCTTACCTCATTTCCTTTTATATCCCCTCCCGCCCGCTCCGCTCTCAATCTCTCCTCCTCCTCCTAACCGTCCCCCCCCCCTCTCCTTGTGCACAATCCCCGTGTCCGCTCCTTTTCCCCATTTGCCCCCTTGCACTGGAACAAACTTCCCCTCCACATTAAGTGAGCGTCTCGTTTCCACTCCTCCCTCAAGAAACCACCTCTTCTTCCCTGGCCCATCCTTCCCTCCATCCCAAGGTACCCACCGTAAGTCCCGTACCCACGAACCTTCCTCCCCATACCCCATCACCATTTACATTTTAGCTACCCTCATTGTACCATAACCCTTGTAAAGCACCTTGGATAAAGGCGCTTTATAAATATAAATATCCATTGGCCATACGAAATTATCATCATTAGCATCGGTGCTGGTGGCCGTGAAGTCCCATGGACACGGCACTGGATGGGCAGTGACTGAGTTTGACACCCAGCCACTGGAGCCATGCACTTTTAAACTTAGATTGAAAACTCATTTCTTTGGAACTGCGTTTTGTGTTTAGTTTGTTGCCCTTCCCCCCGCACCTCCGACTAGCACGGTTGGTTATGTACGGTGCGAAAGAAGTTCAACGTACATACATACAGACAATTCCTGGCTGGCGAAGACTCAAGGCAAGGACAGGTGGAGCAAGATGAGAAGCGAGAGCAGGGCCATGTTGTGCTCATAGTTCAACAAAATAAACACAAACATCCCCTTTATAGCCTGAACAGAATGTTGGGGCAAGTGCTCTTGGCGAGCACCGATGAAGCCCGGCATGGCACACGAGGGGGTGGGTGGCCAACACTACACCCGGACGCCTTTCTCTCCCCAGTAGCGATGCTTACACACGTCACCAGGTACTCATTTGAGGCTGAGTCGACCTAGGGTAGGCCCATGACTGGTTCAGATAATCGTCACTGTTGTGTCGCTCCCCACTACTATTTCAACACACATACATACACAAGCCATTTGTGGTAGCGCTGGTGCTCAGGTGATGCCACGTGCCTAGGTATTCGGTGCCGTAGTAGGCGTACATGAGAGGCACGGGCTTGTGTTTGCGTGCCGCGTACTCCTTTCCCGAGTCCACGATGGCCTGGCACACGGTGGAGGTCTCCTCGTCCGTCAGGATCTAGGGCGCGAGAGCCGCGTCCCATCAAAGGACACACACATGCACAAGGCACCGAAGGTTAGCGGTGGACATTAGGCTTGCCACTCGGGTTGCAACCTGTCCCGAGTTTTGAGCGGGTTTGACCCGGGCAGTCCGGGATTGGCATCTGCGTTCGGGTGGCAGGGGTTGATTTGTTCCGAGATCTGGCACTGATGTTGCGTTGAACTTTGCCAAAGTGGACTGTGTTGCTTCCGAAAAACGTCGTGATTTATTTTATTTTCTGCCTACGTGACTTTACCGAAAGAACCAATGAGTATGGATCCCTGCAGTCACGAAAACTTCAGATCTAGATTGGACTGCAGAGTTTTGACAACAGACTCAGTTGCTGACCGAGAAATAAGATGGCAACCCAAGTGTATGCGATACGACAACACTACGATGTCGTATAATATTAAATTCCATTGATAATCTAATCGTCAGTTTATAAAATATATATCATTAGATCATGATTATCGGCACTAATTAAAATGTTTATGTATATTAAAAACAATTTTGACAATGTTGACGACAAAACGAACTGGATTATTAAACGTTGTAAATATCTAATAATCACAAAATTAGTGCTTTGCAAAAGGTGTTTTGGAATGACTGATGGCATGGCAATTGTATAACGCCATCATTTTGTCTAATAATAGAGCTTTTTTATAGGTGAGATCGCGTAAATCTAAATGTGTCGTTAAACCCGCCACCACCCGACACTTCCAATTAATAAGGTTTGTCACGTAAAAAAAACGTGCCAATTCGTTACTAGTTCAGCACACCCGTTGTGTGTTGGAGAGTGAACCCACTACAACATTTACAATTCGAGTACCAGTGACGTTTCGGCAGTAATTACAGCAACTAGCCTCATCAGGCGACAGACAGATTTTTTTTGCTAATTTTCTTTAGTGCGTATGATAATTTGATTATTTATTTGGTAACTGACGACATGTGCATTGTAAGTGCTCCCTATCTTGAACAACCGCAAGGTTTAGCAGGCTCGTGCAGAGTGGTCAAATGCAGTGGATTTTTGTTGTTCTCTTAAATCTTAACTCATCCTATAAATACGACAAAAGCACAGCAGAAGCACAATACGGACGAGAAATAAAGGATCACAGCTGATATCGTCATATTCGTTGCATTGTAACATTTTATATCGTACCATGGCCTTTATTAACATGCAGAGCCCATGCATCCCATCGTTTAAATGCGGTGCAGGAATCCGCACACTCTCGCTCCATCGTGGGGGACTTGTGGGAACTTTCCAGCTCTACTCCAGTCTCCAGCCTCGGACCAAATCACCCCGGAACGTGCCTCGTCTCATCAGATCCTCCGGTAGCTCAGCGGGATTGAGTGGCACGATAGTGCTTTGATGGGTGATCAACCACGAAGGACAGGTTTGTCATCGGCAGCCCTGTAGTTGTTGCTGCCGCTTAGCGGGCAGTGGAGTGCGGCGCACACAAATCCACTGTTGCGCTACACTGCAGCAATTCTATGCTCCCGAACCTCCACCACCCCGGCACACCGATCGGCGTGATGAAGCATCGTCAGATAGCCCCAATAAACCAGCAAGGCGTGGGGAGGCCCTCATCCAGCAGCAGATTGACATATGACTGTACATGTGTAGAGGTGTTATTCCGCACTCCCCATGTTGCCAGCGGGTAGCATCACTGTTGGGTCAACAGGTGGCGGAAGAGTGACTGCGCCTATGTTCAAGGACTATGATCTCTGGGATAACGGATCCTGGGCACAATCCCCAAACCCCAGGAGGTGGGATTGGGGGATGACGTCACCCTTCCAGGACCTGGTGGAAGGTTCTGGAAGGAAGGCGTGGCCGGGGCGGAGCAAGCCCCGGACCTGTACATAAGTCGGACCTCTGAACGGTAGAGACAGTCACCTCCACTCCGAAGACTGAAGACCTGGGCTGAAGTTAGGATCCTGGACCCCAAGCTCCGCCGTCCTTCTAAGGGCCGGAGCTCAGTGAGGCCAGTAGTCAGGACCCGAAGACCCTGACACGGTCGGGTCAGCGTAGCCTCCCCTAGGGCCCCCAGCCGGAGGACTGGGAATTAGCGGGGTCCCAGTGTTAGGCCCGTGTAGTCTGGAGGCCATACAGGTATCGGGTAAAGGGGCTGCTACCCCTTTGTGTTAGGGACCCTGTAGAAAGAGAGTGTTAATAAATATCGTGTTGCCTCAACTGGTGTCTCCCCTGGTTTCTGACCCACGACAAATGTAAAGGACACGCACGCCACAGGTAACACAGAACTTGACCCACACAACATCCCCAGATGTGTTTGTATCCGAGCCAGCGCCTTAAATTACCGTATTCTCCTGATGATAAGACAATTAATTTTTTAAACATGTACTTTAAAGCAAAACGTTGGAGGGATGCATCTTATAATCTTGTAGGTACGTGTTGGAGTGCATATTTGTATAACTCTATTAATACCAGGCGCAAGTTTGAGTTGTGTCATACTTTCTGGAGCGTCTTTTAATCCAGAGAATACGCCAGTCCTATCCAATCCAATGCTTTTGTTTAGTTTAAAATTCTTCTTTCGTATGGCTGATGTCGATGCAGAGGAACGACGACAATTCATATTCACGTGGTCAAGCCAGATAACCGCGTCAAGAGCAGCGGAGTAGTGTATCATCGCTGCGATGTCTCCTTTCGTATTTGTGGATCGGGCATTGTGTCGTTACCAAAAAATAAAACACGCTTCAAATCGCTTTAAACTATTGTCATTGTAGTGCGTATTTAAAGTGGCGCTGCACTCTGATGTTGTAGGAGAAAACATTTATTAAAAAGTCTATTTAATTACGTAGAACGTATTGTCTATATTTATTTGAAGTTGCGCATTTTGATGTGACGTCACATTTCTCAAACCTCCCCCCCCCTCGTCACACATCGTCACAAATGTCTGACCCCCCCCCCCAGGTGCGTGACGTCATTTATGGACGGCCCCTAATACGTTGTACGGTCTGTTCTGGATGACCACAGTCAAAACACGACTGGAGAGTTTTAAATTTTCCATTTGTGCATCAGGAATCATCCGCATCTGCCACATGGTTTGTGCGGATGCGGTTTAGGGTGAACCATGAGCTTCGTGGAAGAGCAAGTCCAGGGATCTTCTGTGTTGGATCTTTGACACAGTGCGTTTGTTGCGAGTTATTTTTAACTCCATTCAACTCTCCAAGCTTCATCGGGGTCGAACTCGCGTTGCTATTTCAGATTAAGGGGCCGTCCATAAATGACGTCACGCGATTTTGGACGATTTTTGACCCCCCTCGTCACACGGCGTCACAAAAAGTCAGACCCCCCCCTCAAATATGACGTCACAAAGCTCTGCCCCCCCCCCCAAAAAAAGTATATAAAACATGCTTCAAATCGCTTTAAACTATTGTCATTGTAGTGCGTATTTAATGTGGCGCTGCACTCTGATGTTGCAGGAGAAAACATTTATCAAAAAGTCTATTTAATTAAGTAGAACGTGTTGTCTATATTTATTTAAAGTTGCGCATTTTGATGCGACGTCACATTTCTCACCCCCTCCTCCCCCTCGTCACACATCGTCACAAATGTCTGAGCCCCCCCCCCCCCCGGTGCGTGACGTCATTTATGGACGCCCCCTAAAATACCGTAAAACTTTTCCCCGTGGCACACCACCAGAAGGGCACTCAAAGACAGGCACAGAGGAAGGGAAGGAATGTCCGCCCGCGCCAAGGTGAGGGGGGTGGTGAGAGAGAGCGATGATCGTGATGAAGATACGAGCGTAGGGAAGCGAGAGCGAAGGAGTGGAGCGGCGTCTGTTTTCACAGTGGGCGGTGTGGGCAGGGGGAGGGATTCAGAGGTGAGGGTGACCACACGGAAGTCACGTGATTCTCGGGAGGCTTGAGCTGATTGAGATATACAGCAGATGGTTAGCTGGTGACATGTTAGTGAACAGTTGTGTGCCTTAACAGCCACATCATGAACATTTTAATAATGACATGTGTCCAAGTGAAAGTGATTTGCTGCTCAAATGCAGAATGAAATGCCGCTGATATCAGTGTCGTCTATATTTATTTAAAGTTGCGCATTTTGATGTGACGTCACATTTCTCAAACCCCCCCCCCTCCTCTCGTCACACATCGTCACAAATGTCTGACGACTCCCCCCTAGGTGCGTGACGTCATTTATGGACGGCCCCTTATCACCTGCAAATTTACAGCAGCCAAATACTCTAAATGCATGTTGCGTCTAAATGTGGAGGGGAAACCCAGAGAACCCGGAGAAAAATTATTGCGACCACGGGGAGAGACATACAAACTCCAAATATACAGCAGGCGTCAGGGTCAGGATCGGACCCATGACATCCTGCATACCAGGCGAGGTAGTTAACATCTCGCCACCGTGGCGCCCTGTGTTTGGGTGGCAGAAATCCATTTGTACCGAGATCTGCAGCTGGCTTTGTGTTGAACTTTGCTGCTGTACACCGCACTAAGTGTTGATAGATCTAAGCCAGGAGGCGGCAAACTGTGGCTCCAGAGCCGCATGCGTTGGTGGCTCTTTGAAGGGCTGCTTCGTGACAGTTATCTTATTAAGGACCCACCGTCTCGCATTCTCCACACAGTTCATTACGGCTCTTGAAATATTGAGCTTTTATTTTTTTCCGAATTCAAAAAAATGTCTCGTGTTACCAACCCCCTGACCTAGGCTCTCTGAGAAACATTTTCGGGTGTGGTCTGTGGAATAGGCTGCAACCCTGATTCTAGGACATCTGTGAAAAAGAGCACTATAGCTCATCTGATTTCTCCAGTACCTATAAATAAAGAATATGATTCTGACGATGACAGCCAAAGTGATGTTACCATTCATACGAGCACTGAGGCATTGCCCGTCTTCCATTTACACACTCGAACGAGCAAGTGGTGAAAATTCCCCACTCCTGTGGTGGGGGCGAGTCAATCTAGGGGGCAGCTGCGGTGGATTTCCCACAAGTGAACTGGTGCTCGTTTTATTGATGCTGGAGGGAAGAGCAACTAAATAGTGTGGGACATAACGAAAGTGACGATAAATATACGTACACCAATGTCGCATGGAAATGCGCCCGATGTCACCGACGTGCAGAAGCTAAGGAGGAGTTTAATATGAAAAGTGCCTGAATAGGTGCCTACCATACATGCATATCGTCATGGCTGGGCTTATAGTCATAGCTGGGCTTATAGTCATAGCTGGGCTTATAGTCATAGCTGGGCTTATAGTCATAGCTGGGCTTATAGTCATAGCTGGGCTTATAGTCATAGCTGGGCTACACTCCTCCACTGCTCCTGACGCGGTTGTCTGCGACCTGACCACCTTTAATGTGAAACTGTAGTAGTTGATCTGCATCTACATTATCAGCCGTCCTAAAGCAGAAGGGCTCCTCGTAGTGAGCAGCAGAGGGCGGTGAAGATAAATGCATTTCTTTAGAATTCTTCTCTCTCTTCGCCACGTCTATGCTCCCCGCCGTCGGCAAACCCGCACTGACCACCGTGGTGAAGTATGGTCGAGTTAGCCAAACTGGAGGGCCCTCATCAGGCCAAAATTTCGCCGTGAGTGGTGGGTGAGCCGGCAAGGGGAGGTGAACCCAGAAAGCCTTTTGATTGACGGTGAGTGGAAAAAAAATGTTTATATTTTCACAAGGTAGATGCATAAAAGAGATATTATCTGCATATGTATTGAGTTACTTCTGTATGTGAGAGTTTGGTGAACGAAAAGTGCGTGGCCTTGTAACAGAGGCGTTGCATCACGAACCCCATAGGACAGGGATGGGGTACCTATGGCCCATGGGTGCTGGTGACTATGCACGCCTGTAACTCAGCACTGTGGAGGTGGGGGTTGGTGGATCACACTCATGTGAAACTCCCTTTCCATACCCGGGCCCTGCCAGCAGCAAAGTGTGGACACACATCATCCGTCCCTTCTATACTGGATTAGAGTGTTGCCCCCTCGCATGCGCGGATTTTCTACAGGTGCTCCAGCTTTGTGTCCATGTGATTGGAACCGTTGGAACCGACGTTGGCCCAACGTTAAATGCAGGGGAAGAACACCCCCCCCCCACCCCCATCAATACATGCTCGTTGCGAAGTCTATGAGCTTCGTGTTTACGTCTTGAACGAGACGAGGCGCATTTTCACGAGCGATCGCGAGAGACTGCTGGGGCCGTCTCCACCAGATGCTTGTGCGGCTGTGTCACGGTGCTCTTCAATAGCAGTGCAGACAGGAGGCGCTGCCTCGCCCGCGTGTGATTGCCCGTGGGCTTTCCTCTGGCCAGTGAAGGGGCCTGCTGTGAGCCTGGGCCCCTTCCTTCACTGCTGTGGGCCTGCTGCAAGGGGTGTATCTAGAAACCTCCCAGGGCCAGAGCCAGGGGGGTAAATATCAATAAGATGTCCATTTAAATACGCAAATTTGTAATAACGCTACACGGATTTCGTTAGAAAAAGAGGCATTGGGAGCGACAGACGAAGCTAAACTAAACTTTTTTTAATTTACCAGGTAAGGCCTGCTGAGCTGTGTAGCTCTTTGTCAGAAGCGGCCTGGCTATCACATGTGATAGCTCAACGAAGTCACTTATCAAGTGGAAATTCATAGTAGCCAAATACTCGAAACGCTTGTTTCTACATGTGAATGGAAAAATCGCGTGACCACGGGGACAACAGGCAAACTCCAAATATACAGGCGTCAGGGTCGGGTTTGAATCCACAGACAAGTGGGGAAGGCAGTCAGTATCCGGTACCAACAATTGCCCAATCTCTGCGGACCCCTTAATGTGGGACGAAAACGTAATACCCAGAGAAAACATAAACGTGTGAGAGAGGTAACACTCCACTCAATCCCCACCCAGATGGAATGTACGAATCACTTAATTGGTTTCCAATTAAATTTGAGCGATGATTTGTGCTCAGGCCGCTTCTGAAAAAGCACTAATAGCTGGTAAAATAAAAAAAACATACCTACTCTGATCACCCAGGAATGTCTGTCCTTAACGCTCGTGACGTCACTCCACATTGACCAGCCCCCTCATTAATATTCATGAGCAGGTGACGTCCTCCAAATGGACACCCCCCCCCCATTCATAATAATTAGCGGCTGACGACACTCCACATGGAGGGGCGAGGCGCCTCCTCCCCCCTCCTCGGCGTCAACTTACAACCCTCACGACAAAGGCAGAACCCTCACGTCACGTGATCTCAGTAACGCTGTTGTTGAGACATCGAAGTAAAAAGGACGTCGTGATGAACAAGGGATTATAACCTTTGGTTCTATTCGGTAAAGTCACGTAGGTGTTGTTTTGTTTTTTTTACCTACGTGACTTTACCGAATAGAACCAAAGAGCATGGATCCTTGCAGTCACGAAAGCTTCAAATCTAGAAGGGATTATAACCTTAAAATGAAATAAGTCTGCGTCACCACGGCCCTTGCACATTGCACGCGCGTTGATGCAATGAATATCACGTGGCGGTCTGTGCTTTTCGCTCGCAAGTTTCAGACTTACTGCAACACACCCGTCTCCTTGGACGGGCAAAAGGCTAGAAGTTTATAGTTTTAGTTCAGTTAGGCGAGGCGAGGCGAGGCGGTGCGGGGAGGCGACGGACGGACCCGCCGCTTGTCACCTCGATGCCGAGCCGGCGCTTGAGCAGCAAGGCGCCGCACAGGATGCCGGCCCGGCCCACGAAGAGCTCGTCGGAGCCGAGGCGGTGCGCCCGCACGGTGACGGCGCGCGGCTGCAGCTCGCGGTGCAGCCGCGCGAAGCTCTGCGCGTGGCCCACGGCGGCGGCCGTCCGGCCCGCGGCGCCGCTCGCCAGCGCCGCCGCGACGAAGGCGCCGGCGCCGCCCAGCAGGAACGCCGCGCTCGTCTCAGAGCCGCTCTCGCGCTCCCCGTTGCTGGCTGAGGGCGTCGTCGGCGGTGCGGGGAGGCGGGGTGGGGAGGGGGGTGTTGAGGTCAGGGGTCAGAGGGTCAGAGGGTGACGGGGTCGGTCACGCAAATGCACGTGTGCACGCTGAACTTCTTTCTCGCCGTACGTAGCCGAACCGTGCTGATCGGAGGTGCGGGTGACAAGCTATCGGATCTGCATCATGGTTCTGTTGTGAATATAAGCGAATGTGGCCGCGTGGCAAGTTGTCTAATTGAAGAGTTAGACAACTTCAGGCCAGTTGCCTTCTTCAATAGAGTATAGTCACCAATTAGTAAAGTATATTCACCGATTTCTGTTCGGATTTTTTGGTTATATTCTTGCGTATGCCACTATTTTCAGGAGCTAAATGCCAATGTCGAGGGCTTCAGGAGAGAGTTTGTGTAGTTTTGCTGTTCCTCCATTGAAAACGTGCAGAGCACAGTGGGTTTACTGTACGGTCCATAGTTTAGGTTTCATTATTCATCATTTACAGATTTGATGTTGCTGGCATCCACCATAAATGTGTAAAAGACGACAGAAAGAAAAAAAAACACGATAAAAAGTCAACTTAGCATGTCCCACTCCACAGTTGACACACGCACGCGTCAAATATAAAGATCCCCCATATAGCCTTTAACAGACTGTTGGGGCAAGTGCTGTTAGCGAGGGAAGCCAACACAATTCCCGACCGCCTTTGTCTCCCTTAGTGGCGATGTTTGCATACCGCACCAGTTACTCATTTGAGGCTGAGTCGACCTAGGGGAGTAGCCCAGGACCAGTTCGGATATTCGTCACTGGTCTCGGCCGTGAGTGGGAATCGAACCCGGGTGGCCGGGTCTTTTAGCGCAGTGCGCTAACCGTTACGCGACCGCGCGCAATCACTCACGCGCGCACTCGCATGCGCGTAGACTCTGCCCCACCGCTACTGATGACAGCCGCTCCCGTGCACGTCGCTCTTCCCTCCATCTCCTCGGCGTACTCCACGGACGCCTCGGCGAGCCTGCGCGCCGCGTCCGCGTACCTCTCCCGCCGCCCCGCGTCCAGCTCGGGCAGGAGGCTGCTGTCGGGCGCCGCCGCAAAAGCCAGCGCCAGGGCCATGCCCGCCGGCCCGCGGTACAACCCGCCCGCCGGCGCCACCGACACCGCCGCCGCTCGCTTCCCAACGCCGTCGCCCTCGCCGCTGCCCGGGGGTGCCTGCCCGGCGATAGCGTCCAGCATGGCCGTGACGAGGGGCAGCAGGGCCTCGCGCGAGCGGCCGGGCAGCGGCGAGCCCGCGAGGTCGTCGAAGCGATTGGTGAAGCCACGGTCGTGCTCCATGCTGCCCCGGGGGAGTTTCGTGGGAGGCGAGTTCGGCCTGATAGGGAGAGGGGCTTTGGGGGAAGGACATTAAACAGTCGTAAATTGCATTGCATGTCATCGTTGCATATGTTGTTAATCAGCGTGTACCTGCTATGACATGTGTAGCCACTATGACAGGGGTACCTTGCATGACATGCCGTTCGGAAACAGGGTCATTGATGAACATTTTACGGAACAAAAACAGGAAGTAGTATTGAGAGGCGCACGCTTGGAATTTTACTGAGAGACAGAAAGAGGAACCCATGGATCAGAGAACATTCGCAAGATTTACACGTAGGCTTTCGCGATCAATATTATTTATGATAAAGATTTTTCGGGGTTAGATCGCGTAAATATAAAAATGTCGTTAACCCACCACCACCCGACACAGCCAACCAGTATGGTTTTTCTGACAAAATCGCCTGATGATGCTGGATGTAAATACCAGCGAAACGTCGTACCAAAATTGTAAATGTGGATTTAATCTCCAACACACCAGTGGGCTGAAGCAGTAACTAATTGGCACGTTTTGTTTACGTGACCAACCTTACTGATTGGCTGTGTCGGGTGGTGGTGGATTAACGACACTAATTTTCATTCACGAGATCAAACCCCCCCCCCCCCAAAAAACCAAAACTTTATTATGCACACGCAAGGTCAATTGTATTAAAACTTAAACATTATTAAAAACTTTTTTTCAGAAAAGTAAAGTGGGCTTGATCAGACAGCACACGTTATGACTCGAAGGAGTGATGACCGGTGGTCAAGGATCGTGACGGAGCGATAGTCAGAGAATGGAACGCGTCCGAGAGGATGTCCACCAGGAACACAATCTGCATTCCTGCAAGCCGCGAATCCTAACGTTTCAGATGCCCCGCGCGATCTAAATAGAAAAACCGCTTTAAATTCCTCGGGAGCAAAAGGATAAGCGCAGCAGCACCACGGCTGCCTTTATCAATCCATTGCTAAAAAAAACCTATATATTTTTTTATTTTACCAAGTAAGGCCCCACTGAGCTATATAGCTTTTTTTAAGAAGCGACCCCGCACCTCCGATTAGCACGGTTGGCTACGTACGGTGCGAAAGAAGTTCAACATACATACAAAAGTGGCTTATCACGTTTAAATTTAGAGCAGCAACCGGATGCTGTAAACGGATGACCTGGAGAAATAATCACGCGAATACAGGGAGAACATGCAAACTCCAAATATACAGCAGGCGTCAGGATCGACCCCATGAACCTGTACACCAGGCAAGGTAGTTAACATCTTGCCACTGTGCTAGATGAGGGCCTCCCCATACCGTATGGGTCATTTGACCATACTTCACCACACTGGTCAGTACGGGTTTGTGAATGCAAGCAGCATAGACGCGGGAGCATAGAAGCACAGCACCTTACAGGCAACGAGGTAGCGGATCTAAAAAAAAATGCTGCTGGATGTTCAGTATTCATTTTTAAAAACGAAATGTGTAAAGAAGCTTCAACGGGCCTTTACTTCAATAGACGAGTGTCAACTGTGTTATCAGTTTACTACTGTCTGTAATCGTCTAGAAGAATTATGGGTATTAATGGAAACGTCCAACAGCGGGGCCGTTACCCTGATAGACGCTTGACCCACGGCAGTGGGAAATCCACAATGAGCCCCGACGGCTCACGCAAAGAGGAGCTTTACTCTGCCGATGGACGCATTGGATTTTGAAGCTCACCAGCCGGCACCCAGCAATTTCCACTGCACCCTGCAGATTTAGCTTAGCTGTGCTGCACCCTGCACAACAGCCACAGCAATATAGACCCTGTCGCACTGCCACTGCACCCTGCTGTTTTACGTTAGCCCTGCAGTACCCTGTACATTAACCACAGCAATATGACCCTGCTGTACTGCCACTGCACCCAGCACAACTTGCCTACCTACATGCCTAAATGGGATGTACCCCCACCTCCTCCCCGGCTACACACTTTGCAGGCACGTGATCATGCACACCAGCCTGTTGCAACCCGTCCATGCACAGCTGTTGCATCGTGCAAGCACTGCTGCATCTGCGGTGACCTGCTGCACGAGTTTGAACCCGATCCCGCACATTTGAACCATGCTCTGCATCCTATGTGGAACCCTGCAACCCCACACAATCCTGCATACCCGATGCACACCACAACATTTGCCAAACCTGCCGCACGCCTGGCTGCACGAAAAGAAGACGTACCAATCGTTGCATGTCTGCTGCAAGTTATTGCTCTTTGCAGAATTGCTTAACCTTGCACACTCGCCGCACTTCTGTTACACATCGCTGCAACGTCCCCAGAGTTAGCTAACCTGCTGCACTCCTGCTGCACAGTCGCCGCGAGTTGCAACACCCAGGGCCACGAAGTTCCAGCTCTCTGTAATCCCGTGAAGAACAGAGGGAGACTAAGCAGATAAGGCAGCCTTGTACAATCCCAGAGCCAGATGGGCTTTCACTCTGGGACAAGTCAAAGCCACAACTGCCTCTCTCCCTCTCTCAATGCTCCAGCAACAATATCCTCCGGTGTGAGCGGAACCAGTGGTGGGAAATCCCACATTCCCATGGCAGGGATGTGGGATTTCCACGAAGCACCAATATGATAAGGCGCTGCAAGCTCTGTCCCCAGCGGGCGACGATTCGCGTTGCACAGAGTAACAATACTCGTTGTACACAATTGTGTTACGCTGTGGCTATGGTTGAGGCAATGCAGCAACAATAATAAATCACAGTGTATGAATCTCTGTTTCAAACACACACGCGTGCTGTGCTGTTAACATCGGCGTGCGCGCTGCAGACGAAACGTGTACAAAAAGCATTACGCAAAAAACCCCATCAGCAGTTCATAACGAACTATATAGTGTTCGTGCCCATTAGGTCGCCGTATGGGCAAATATGACTGACTAACAAGACAGCAGCGAGACAGACACCCGAAGGCAGGTTCCGTTCTCATTGTAACTCATCAGTACACTGGAGTCACCAATGGAGCTCACTGCTGCAGATGGGTTGTAACGACGGATATTGCTCGTCATTTACAGATTTGATTAATGGCGTGTGCTTGTGTGTGATAGAGGCCTCCCTATACATGTCTGAAACACATAAAACAAAAATTCCCCCGTGTAGCCTTACACAGGCTGTTAGGGAAAGTGCCGTTAGCGAGCCCCAATGAAGGTACGACACACGAGGCCCGGCCGTCCCTGTTTCCCGAATGTTGATTTTTACACACCGCACGAGGTACTAATTAAAAGCCGAGTGGACCTAGAGGAGGCCCACGTTGTTAGTGGGAATCGAAATCTGGTCGCCGGGTTCGCAGGGCAGTGCTAACCACTGGGCTAACGGTCCCCACACACACGCAGGCACGGTGTTGCTATTGTTGTTGTTGCTATTGTTGTTGCTGTTGACAACGGTGTGTGTGTCTGCGTAAAGACAGACGATACTGTCATTACACGTGGGAGAGGAATGCATTCATTCATTTACATTAATTTTTCATTCACTCGATTTCCATCCATGTGTTGTTCATTGATTGTCATTCACTGACGGTAATTCAGTATTAAATTATCGCCACTTATGTATTCAGTGTCGATCATAACCATGTATTCACTGACGTAACTATCCACTGACATCCATTGACATTGATTAACAGTCAATCGATGTGTAAACATGTTCTAATAGTTTCCAATCATTCAATGATAGTAATTCGTTCATTAATTAATTCACATATTAACGAGCATGTATTCATCAAACTACAATAGTGTATTAAAATGCGTTGATTATCTATGGATTAATTAATTCATGCATTGACATTCACTGAACACATTCATTGACAGTCACCGACACGCATTCATTCATTGACATTCATTCGATATACTCTTTGGTTCTTTCGGTAAAGTCACGTAAGTATAAAATAAAATAAATCACGACGTTTCGGGTGCAACACAAGCGTCCGTGATTGACAGTCACCGACACACATTCATTCATTGACATTCACGAAACACATTCATTGACAGTCACCGACACGTATTCAATTATTGTCGCTCGCTTATCAATTGGCTGTGAGTGAGCGAGCGAGCGACAGACAGCGACAGCCTCGTTCTTACCTCTCGCTGGGAGAGAGCGCGGCAGCCGAGTGAGAGTCCGGGCTCACGGGGGACGAGGCTAAGCCAGGCTCATCAGCCTGGTTCATCGGCCTGGCTCATCAGCCTGGCTCAGCCAGCCACGCGACCAACCAGCCAGGGATGGTGCTCACGCATCAAATATTCCATCCCCTTCCCCTCCGTATAGCCCTGAATAGACTGTTGGGGTGTAAATGCTGTTAGAGAGTGCCTATTAAGGGCCGGCACGGCACACGAGGGGGGTGGGTGGCTAACACAACTCCCGGCCGTCTTTGTATCCCCAGGGATGATGTTTTCATGTAAGGCTGAGTTGATCGTAGGAAAAGCTCAGCACTGGTTCAGGTAATCGTCAGTGGTGTTGGCCTTGAGCAGGAAGCGAATTTGGGATGCCCGGTTTTTATTGTTTAAGAGTATTTGGCTGCTAGACATTTCCACATAAGCCACTTCGTTGAGCTATCATTTGTGGCAAGGTCGCCTCTGAAAAAGAGCTATATAGCTTAGTGTGCTTTACCTGGTAAAATAAAACATAGTTTCGTATTATTTTGTAATATAAGAATAGGTTCATACTCTGTTTTTTTCGGTAATGTCACGTAGGTACCGAAACAGAAACCAAAGAGTATGAATCCTTGCAGTCACGAAAGCTGAAAATCTAGAATTAAGAATAGGTTGTACCCTCTCTGGCAATGAAGCAGGTGTTAAGATGTTAAAACACCAAATAGAACCCTTTTGCAAGGAATCATGTCTGCATTAACCACATGCAAAAAACCAACATGCTCTGGTAACGTGTGCATTGTCTTTGAAACTGATTGGTCGACACCAGACAGCCTTCTTTTGGGCCTAGTCTCAACCGGTCTTAGAACAGAGAACGTCAAAAGGCGATTTTATTTATTCTAGATTTGAAGCTTTTGTGACTGCAAGGATCCATACTCTTTGGTTTTATTCGGTAAAGTCACGTAGGTAAAAAACAAAACAAAAATCACGACGTTTCGGCCTTTCGGCCACAACTTGTATTGTGGCCGAAACGTCGTGATATTTGTTGTTTTGCGATTTTATTTCCAAAAAAGGGTAAACCCTATTTTTATACTTTGACACTGGCAAGAAAGGTCTCAAGTTTTGTAATAGTCGTGCAGCATGCTAACCACTGCGCCACCACTCACCTCATTCCCAGCCACCAATCACATGCGTGTATCGTCAAATTTCGGACCGTGTCTCCTCATCTCAATTCACTTACAGGCATACCTCGCCGAGTGCGGGGGTTACGTTCCTGGAAAATGCCGTGTTGGGAAAAACCGCGTGAGACAAATCATTGTCCTTATGGAAAAAATAAGTTTGCGTTATTGTACTAAAGGAGGCTGAGTCGCTCGCTATTCCTGTATGTGTGTACACTTTATTTTTACATTTAACTTAATAAAAACTCGTTTCCAATCCTCTCCCCGCACCGCGGCACTCACGACCAACACGCGCGCCCCTAACACCGAATCTCCAGCCCAACACGCGCGCCCATAATACTGCATTGCAAGCCCTACTACGCACGCCCCTAACTTTGTCACTTGAACGTTCATAATTCGCCGTCGAGGTGTCCGTATGACTGACGTCCTCAGCGAGTGGACAGCTAAAAATGCATGCGGCAATGTGTGTGGACTTCAGCAATGTGCCGTTGTGCGTGCCCGAGTACTGAAAGAAACACACTAACACACATCACATGTACATCACGAGGCCTCCTTTGCCAGTAGCAAAATATAATAATAGGGTTTTTACCCTTTTTTTCTGACAACAAAACTGACACCTTTTTACAAGGAATCATATTTGCATTAACCACAATACCTGCGGTCAAAATGCAAACAAATAACAACTCTGATAATGTATGCATTGTCCTTGAAATTGATTGGTCCACACCAGAGACAGCTTTTCTTAGAGCCTAGTCTCACATGGTGTTGGACCAGATGACGCCAAAAGGCGCACAACTCAAAAACAACGCACTATCAGAGTATGAGGGCTCGGGGTAAAGCATTTACATCATGAGGCCTCCTTTGCCAGTAGCAAAATATAATAAAAGGGTTTTTTTACCTTTCTTTCTAACAACAAAACTGACACCTTTTTGCAAGGAATCATGTTTGCATTTTATGTTTGCATTTTGACCGCAGGTATTGTGGTTAATGCAAACATGATTACTTGTAAAAAAAGGTGTCAGTTTTGTTGTCAGAACAAAGGGTGAAAACCCTATTATTACACATCACATGGTAAATAAATCGTTCTCACAGTCGATTCATAAGCACCTTCCAACAACAGAAGCAGCAACTTTCACGGCACTGTATTTTCGACACGGCGACAATAATCTTAGCAGCGTCAAACCGCGTATAGCCGAATACATCACCCCGCCCTGGCGTTCCGTAAATATACACTCCCATTTAGGTAATCCGCTTATAGCCGAAACACGCGTTCGGTAAATCCACGTTCGGCAAGGTTTTCCCGTATCATCGAACCGCCGGGTTACTCCCGGTTAACTCGGAGCAGGGATTGATGGCAGCTTGTAGGGGATAGGAAATGCTGTTGCTGCTTCTGATGTTGTGGTGAGGTGGTGATATTCTATTTATTGCCGCCTCGACCATGCTCGCTAAGGTGGGGCCAAGTTCCATCTTGGGACTGAAGCGACTATTTGACACTTCAATCCCCTACACGTACCGGTGGTGGTGAAGCAGGGGGTCTGGTGAGTATTCCTTCCACCGACAGGCAGACGTTTGGCGTCGAAAAACGAGGTGGGCTTTTGCCCGCTCGGTCTGCTTTTTTGGTAGCCCCACGTAAGAGTGGTGGCTGTTGAAGTGGAGAGGCGCCTCGGTGGCTAGGAGATGTTAACTACCTCGCCTGGTATACAGGAGCTCGTGGGTTCGATCCCGACCCTGACGCCTGCTGTATAGTTAGAGTTTGCATGTTCTCCCCGTGGTCACGTGGATTTGTCTCCAGGTTCTCCGGTTTTTTCCCTCCACATTTAGAAACATCCGCTGAGAGTATTTGGCGGCTATAAACGTCCACGTGATAAGCCGCTTCGTTGAGCTGTCATTTGTGGAGAGGTCGCTTCTGAAAAAAGAGCTGCATGGCTCAGTGGGCCTTACCTGGTAAGTAAAAAAAAATAGATGGCTGGGTGGTTAGCGATTGGTTGGCCGTGACTCTTGGAGGCTCGTAGACATTCACAATGGTCAGCTTTCCCACTCTAATTGTGATGGAAAACGGTGTGCTGTCTCTTGGCATCGGCATGCCAGCATGTGGAATGCGTGGAATCCTTGAACTTTCTTCCGGCATGGGTTGGGTTCAGATAGGCGGGTTTCTTGAAGGCTAAGAACATCGATCTTTTGCATTTTAAGTATATATTTTTTTTTACATCGACCTCACATTTTGCTCTGGATAAGCCTTCAACATTCCGGTGATAAATACTGAGTGCTAGGCCCCGTTATCTTGGTGGGTTGGTCCTGGAAAGGCCCTTTGGTTCAAATGTTTTGGGCTTTCGTGCTTTCAGACCGGGAGGGTATTATTGTTGAACTGCTAAGATCTCAGCAAATGAGCACACCCAGGGAGACCACTTCATCATGTGTACAGATGGCATACAGACAGGGGCGGAGCCAGGATTTTGACTTTGGGGGGGGGGGCTGACTTCACTATTCTGAGATATCCAGTGTATGTTTTCCAATGGGCGCCACAAATCTATAAAACAAATTTTATTGGATTTAAACGCGGTGTGGCTAATAAGTTCGAAAGGCTGCCCCTCAAGCAGCCTGCAGGGCAGCACAAGTTGACAGCCATCATTTTGCAGCAGCCGGATATCCGGTTATCCAGATTACTGACTCCCAAAATTTCATGGGGGGCTGAGCCCCCCCCAGCCCCCCCTGTGGCTCCGCCCCTGCATACAGATGTTAATTTACCCATCGCTATATTGCGATGCGCTGGTCAGGCCAGTAGATGGCGACCTCGCAGCAGGGTGGGTTTTGCAGGGTTGTGCGTGATCCACCAACCCTTGCCTGCACGTGTGCCGGATGACCAGGCGTGCGCCACCAGCGGCCAGCAGAAGGCTGCTAGGAAACTGCACGGAGATGACAACAAAAGGAACGCACGGATTACAGAACGTACGCAGGCCTAATGACGCGAGCCAAACGCCTCCAAATTAGAGGGGTTTTTTGGGGGGGTTAGATCGCGTAAATATATAAATGTGTCGTTAAATCGGCCACTACCCGACACAGCCAACTAGTAAGGGTTGTCACGTAAACAAAACGTAGACAATTCGTCACTAATACAGCACGCCCGTGTGTTGGAGAGTAAATCCACAACATTTATAATCTGAGTAGGACGTTTCGCCAGTAATTACAACTAGCTTAATGTGCTGACCAAACTTCTGCGCTCATTGTTTAAATGCATGCTTATACAAGCCACCATACTTCAATAGAGATTACCGTTGGTAGGGATATTTAAATACACACAATGGACAGGAAGGACAAGATCAAAGGGCCCGCATAATGCGCATGCATAATGTGCGTTGACTCAAGATCGCAGAAGTTTGGTCAATACATCTACGCCTCTATATAAGGAAGGAAACAGACTTCTCCACAAATCTGGCTGTCGCCTGATGAAGCTAGTTGTAATTACTGGCGAAACGTCGTACTCAGATTGCCATTTTCTGTTCACGTGACAACCCTTACTAGTTGGCTGTCGGGTAGTGACACATTTATATATTTACGCAATCTAAACAAAAAAAAACTCTTATGGATGATCTTGGTCGCGAAAGCCTACCTGTTAAACGAGCCAAACTGTTAACAATAAAAGTAAGTGTGCTTGGACAGGAACACACCACGAGCAGGGATGATAACCGGTGGTCGAGAATAATAACCGAGTTGCAGACAAAGGATGGAACGCGCCCGAGATGAAATCAAATTAAACCAACTGATGTGTTTAACTTCTTCTTCAGGAAAACACCCACGTTAGTGGGGCGTCTTCCGCTCCCCAGAAAATTATACGCAGTGAAATCCCCGTGCAGCGAAATCTCCGTGCAGCGAAATCTCCGTGCAGCGTACGGATAGAGACCCGAACACGGTCTTGGATTATCGTGAACATAATCTAAAGTGACAACAAACATAGCAACGACAAAAATAACAGAACACCCCGTGAACGTGTTACCGCTCACGATGCCTGTCAGCTGATCTTAACGCCACAGCCACAATGAAAAATGAGATGTGTAAGTTTAGAAAAATAGCATACAAAAAAATATCGCGACGTTTCGATCGCAACACC